TCTCCCCCTGTTTTTTCTTGTTTAATTGGGATTCAGGACTTCAAACCTCCTCATTTCCTTGAGGAGGAGCTGGGTTTTGTTCCCTGTCAAAGAGAGGGTGAGCTACAGTCGCCCCTGCACAGGTACATCCTTGTTCCTGTGTATCGATTTAAGGAAAGTAGCTGCTAGTTTCTGAAGGATTTGCTGTACTCCCTGAGAGCGTATAATAAACCTGTTGGCACCTGATGGCTTCACGTCATTAACTGGAGCATATATTGGCACTACATGCTTCTGCAATTGCTCCTTGAGTGCTTCTTTGATGTATGCTCACTCAGTGCACTAGTGCCGTCCTTCTCCTTGGCACAGGATAGCCAGGGAATGCTCACGGGCCCTGGTCTGCGTTTGTTGTGCACAGGGGCAGGTTGGTTGCCAGAAGGTGGTTCTGGTTGACAACGGCCAAAGATGGGCTGTGGGTTCAGCTGTGCCAAATGGCGGCTCTGCCATGCACTGAAGAAAAACTTACTCTGAGCTGTGCAAGGGTATTTCTGCTGCAGTTGGACTTGACTGCACCATGTGTAGCAAAGACATTGGATATCGTGTTAAGCACAGTCAAATGTTACATGCTAGTTCTACAACTCTTATTTCTCCTTTCTTTTATGCCTCTTAGGATGTTTCAAAGATGACCGTATTGTGTTCTGGACTTGGATGTTTTCAACATATTTTATGGAGAAATGGGCCCCCCGGCAAGATGATATGCTCTTCTATGTCCGTCGAAAGCTGTCCTATGTCAGTGGTGATAGTACAGAAGGGAAAAAGGTGAGTAGTAATATATTTTAACCTGGGATATTTAAGTTAACGTGGGATTTGGTGTTCTGGAGTACCTGACACACCTGAAGAACTACAGACCAAGGATAAGGAATCTCCAGCTGTGTCTACCACAAGAAGTTATGCAAAATTGGCCCACAGAGAAATAGCGTGGTTAATGCTGTGAACATCAGCAGCAGTATGAGTGAGCTTCACTATCACAGACTTGAGGAGATCAGTTTGCATGCTTTTTTGGGAAGCTTTTATGTTCATCAGCCTGCATTTAGGGGGAAAGAGAGGACATCCATGCTGATTTTTGTTTTGCTTTTCAAGGATGGTACTTTATAAATTGAAAGTTTAAATCTATAGAAAGTGAGGAATAAAAGAGGAGGAAGGTGGTCACTCTGGTATTTCAAGAACCCTTCCTGACATACCAGAGTATCAGGAATGAACACCTATTGGATACTGAGTAGCAGAATACATGCAGCCTCCTGGACCTGGGATACAGTAGTGGCAAATGACTGTATTCTCATCATCTATATTTAAGGTAATACGCCCTCCTGTAGAAGTAGCATTTCTTGAAAACACATAATCAGTTAGCGTAGTGCTGCTGCACAGGTATTTTCCCACTAGAGATTTGAGAAACTTCTCAGCATTTTATGGCAGTTTTCATCTTAGGTGGGGGAAACAGAAGCAAGAGAAATGATTGCTTTTTTGTGAGTTAAGGAGGTGGCTGTAGAGGATCAAAAGCGTGAAGATAAGTGGAAGAAGAAAAGACTGGGATTAACTTCCTGACATATGTAAATAATTTACACTGTTGTTGATTCACAGTTATATGTGCATGGTGTATGCGAGAGTGTTTTTAACCAGGTATACCAGGGGTTTCTGGGTTTAAATGTTGTGATGTAAAGAACCATAGTTGTCAGCTCCCTTGAGAAAAGGATCCTAGATTTTCCTACATTTTTGTTGGAGATACAGGAACCAGGCAGAATTATCTTCTTTCTTCCCCCCACCTCTCCAAGTTCCATCATAACAACCACCGAGGAGAATATGGCAAAACATTGCTCTTTCTCTCAGATTAGTGGCTTAGTAGTCTTCAGCCAGCGTACTTGGAGCTTTAAGACTTTTGGAGGACACTTTCATCCTAATCATTGTTTAAATGACTATAAATGCACTCCTGTTTCACATCAAACAATGTTGTGGCTTTGTTCAGCCTAATAAAAGCATGGGTTGTTTAACCTCTTGTCCTTCCCAACAGTGAGGGTGAACCTCAGAGAAAGCCTGGTCACTTAAATTCATTCACAGACCTGTGATCAATCTCTGTTTAACTTCTTAATCAGTTTAAAGTGTTTGAACCTCTCATGGAGGGGAGACAGTGAAATAAACCCTTGCATTTGCTCTCAGAGCCTTATTTAAGCCTCCTATAAGCATCATAAATATTTTTATTTGTGAGGGGGATTCGTAAGTGGTAGTTATTACAGAATCAGCATTAGTGAATTGCTTGCCCTCACAACTAAGACTGGGTGTGTGTATTAAAGCACACACAATATTTTATAACATCCCCTTGACTGTTTTCAGTTTGCTCAGACTCTGAGAAATGAACCTTTCCTGTGACTTTGAAGTACTTCAGATGCTTTGTGAAACTTCGTAGTTTGGTGGTTCTTTGGTACCTGTACAGCTCTCCTCCTGTTTGATTTTAGCTGATGACTTTGCAGTACCAACTCCTCTTGTATCTAATTTTTGAGCCTGTCGTGTGCAGTGAGACATCAAACAACTTCCCCTACTCTTTGAATTATGACTAAACAAGTTTTTATTTTCCTGTGTAGTTTTGGCTATTCTTTCTTGAAAGATGGTTGTCAAAATACCAAAGTCGTATCATTAAAAGTGAGGAAAGCTAGAGACTGATATTTATAGAAGCCAAATATAAATCAAGGATCCCTGCCATCTACCAAGCTGTGTGCTCTCATTTACATCCTCAGAGGTAGACTGAAAAGGTAGATGAAGGGGAGAGGTTCAGAGTTGCTTGGGCTAGAACCGGAGCTGCACTGTTGGCTACTGTCTTGTGCCCAGGCTGTGCTGAACAGTCTGGTGATGATTTGTCCATGGGCCGTCAACTGAAGTTGACTATTAGGTAACTGTAGAGGTGGGTCTTTTTGTAGCTTGGGTATACAGTGAAGCAAGTTCATTGTAGTTCTTCCACAGGCGCTATATATGTGCTCTGCATTTGTCTGGCAATTGTAGGTTTTAGCTGAAGAATGCTGGCAGAGACACGTGAGGTGAATCGTTGTCCTGTGACACCTCAGAGTGTTGTATTCATGAAAATAAGATCTGTACAGCTTTGAGCACAGTAATCTTCTGTGGGACTGATGACAACAACAACAAAAACTGATTGAGTGGTGAAGGGCTGTTTGTCTGAATGCTGACAATGGCGATGTTTGTTTTCGGAGATGACGAGCTCACGCGGCATGTTCACATCATTTGCATGCCATGGTGTGATGATTCATGCCAGCAAGAAACAAGTGTCGATTTATCAAACTTTTCAGGTTTTGATGGCTGTCCTGTGTAATTAAAAGTTGTTCCTGCTTGCGGGTTTTTTTTTTCTATGCTGACTGGAGCTGAAGGGTGTCAGCAATAACATTTGATTTTAAGTTGAAGCGTAATAGAGGATAAGCAGAAAAAAACTGATAGGATCAAGATTAGAGATTCTGTTCAATTTTAAGGCTGGATGAAAAGGGCTTTGGATGCAGCTTAGTCACAACCGCTTGAAGTAATAAATCTCACAATTTGGTAGTGATGATGGTAAACTTCTCTACCACCATAAATTTTATTTTAAAAGGCCTTTTAAATTATCTGCTTCGTAGACCTCCTGCTCTGAGCAACTTCCCGTTAGCTTCTCTTTTCCACCCCACCAGTTTCTAAATTGCACATGTATAGGTGAAAGAGCAATTAAGCTCTTAATATGGTCTATGCCGGGGCGGAACTGCCATATCGAATTCTGGGCTATATCCATTACACAGACTCTTGGATCCCAGACAAATGCACTCAACTCTGTATTTCCTTGACATGTCACAATAACAATCTTGCAGTTTTTCTTGCCAAGTTTTGAAGATACTTCTTCTCTTGATGTCTTCATAGACCTCATCAGCCAGGATCTGTGGAGGCAGGGCATTGTGGAGCATAGCTCTAGTCAAAGTTAAGGGATTTAGTACGCTTTTTTAAGGTGGAACCCCTTTGACTTGTTGCTCTTTGTGCACTGTTAAGTCAAGACTCAAAAAACCCCTTCACTGCTGTCTCACACACCAGCAGATGTGACCTACTGGAAAACATAAGCCCTGATCCTCACTTACAAAAGGTACATTGCCAAAACCTACAGCTTTGGAAGGTTATAGTGGTTGTAGCTGGGATTCTGATTTAAAGTGGTATTAGATCAAGATTTAGTATCTCCAGTGCAAAAGGTATTTATAAAGGATTACCCTTTGTTACAGCTGCAAGCTTCTGATCTTTCTGTAGAGAGAGGCTTTACTCTCTCATGGTACTACAGAAGATGCTAGTATGGTGTTAACAGAGACAACTGCTGAGTAGGGAGACTAACATGAAACCTCAGTGATAGACCAGCAGAGCTAGGTTGTATTAAACCCTGCAGCCTTGCATCATGCTTTGTCACCTGGAAAGGGTGCCGCACTTATTGGGCAAAGCAATAAAAAAAGATAAATTTAAAGACACTGTTGGTATATGTTCTGAGCTTGCCTGGATTTTGGAATAGGTCCCGTTTTCTTCAGCTTACTATAAATGTGGAGGAGTAGAGTTGCTGCCAAATGCATGGGATAGTCATTCAGGCTGTTAAGTCTTCAAAAAGCTTCAGCTACTGATGTTGTGGCTGCAGCTTCAGAAACAGAACTGAACAGGAGCCATGGTTTACACATTTATGCGCATCTGGACCTGTGACACAACAAATATTGGCTGTGGTGGGAGACCAGTTAGTTTCCAAAGCTAAATGACTTTAGGCACATGACTCTCCCTGAAAATCACAGGATTTTCATAGCTGAATCTCTAATTCACTGTCACCATCTGGCTGGCTGGAAGATTCGACAACCTGAAATCAGCATCTAGCAGAAATGCAAGTTTTAAAAATCTTATGTTGCTGTCTCTGTTGTACCTTTCAGAGCAGTGGTGGTTTTTTGAACATTGAAAGCAAACAGGATGTCTCCAGAAGAGCTGTTTGGTATACTTCATGGCAGTTCCGCATCACCATCTGAATGCAACAGAGAAGCAAATGGCCAAAAATTGCATCTTTTTTCCGAACAAATTCTCTCCTTGTACATGAATAGTATGTGGGAACAAACAACGATTGCAACATGTGCAAGTCAATGCAGAGAGATGGCTGTCCTGCCTCAACTCTTCCATTGTGCTAAGTTCGTGGAGGTGTTGCAGTGAGTAGGAGCAGTGGTTTCTGCACAAGGTGACAGGAACAACACATTGCTCTCATTTTGAAACATGAAAAAGGAACACTGACATTATCAGATTGATGTAATGATTTTCTGTAAGGAACTCAGCATCTTAAATGCAAAGATAGGGCTTTTCTTGTACAATTATCCTTCTCAGAAATTCTTGTGCTTTCTCATGCTACTTTGCTGATGTTTCGTTGTCTAAATACGTGAACATAAAGGAGCTGCTACTTGATAGCCTGTGGTGATGGTATGTTTTTTGCAAGACCATCTCCATTGCCTATGTGTGCTGTGGCAGGCTGCTTGGCAAAAACGAAGAGAAGGATAGTGCCGCAGATGTGACAAGAACATCTCTTTCCTACGCAGAGCTGGATCCAGCCGTCTGTGACCTGATATGTGCTTGTGACATACCTGGCAGCCAACGAGCATTCAGGGTGGAGATGCTTTCTTATTCTTTCCCATTTCCAGAGTAAATTTGCATCTGAGGCAAAGCAAGCATGCAGCTGAAATAGCCTCTCAGTGTCACAGTCAGTAAACTCCAGACTCAGGAAGGGGATGTGGGCTGCA